TTCAGTGAGCTTCAGTCATTTTCATCCCCAGATGATTTTTTTTTTCAGTATTGCTCGTGGACACGGTTGTTCTTCACACTAAACCTTTCTTTTTTTCCTACGGGTTTGTACTACGAGTCACAGTTTGTTTCTGCTTTCCTTTTGGTGGTTATGCCACCTCCCCTCGGGGGCTTAATTAGTTTTTTCTTGAATCTTAAAGGAGCATTGCAATATCTCTCTTCCTAGGACTAAAGAGCTCAGGTATTCTGGCCATCTGTTTGTTATCCTCCAATAAAAATTACAAGGATACGGTGCTTCCTGCAATTCTTTGTTTCAATTGACTCAGATGAGTGAGTAGGTTGGCAGTTTTCTCCCGGTGGTCTTCAAGTTCCGGTTTCTCTCACGACTCTTTACACTTGGGGTATTGGCTGCCTGAGGGGCAGTAAAAGCTCTTGTTTCTTCCAGTGGACATCTGTGAGGCACCGTCTTGGGCTGCCTTTCCACATTTTCATTAAACTCTACAGGCTAGAGATATTCTGAAACTGCCTTTGTGATCTGGGGTGACAGTGGACCCGCCCGGGTTAGGGATCTTGCTATATCCCACATGTACTGTCTTTTTTTTCTTAATATGGTGGCAGTACAGCTTCCCTCCCTCTATATTACATTTTCTTGATTACAGTATAAGTTTTATCTGTGGTTTTTCTTGCTACTTAATGAGGTAGGTTTTGCCTGATAGCCCTTTTATAGGGCAAGGGGGAAGGGTTTGTTTTAATTTATCTTGTTAGATGCTTGTTCACAGGAAAGGAGCAAAACCCACATGTACTGCCACCATATTAAGAAAAAAAGAATTTACAGTAAGTAAAAATTTCAGTTTTTTGGCCTATAGAGATACCGATATTGCCGATAATACATACCAGGACCGCCGGGCCCATGACAAGCCCGGGGGTCCTGCAGCAAGCTCTTACTTACCTCCCCAGCAGCTCCCTTTAGCTCCCCTGTCTAAATCTAGCGAGTCCAGCAGCCGTCAGTGTTGCCACGGGTTACCATGGCAACGCGGCACGAAGGCCGTGAGATTTACACAGGTGAGATTAAGGGAGCTGCTGGAAAGGTAAGTAAGAGCTTGCTGCGGGCCCCACTGCAAAGTCCATGTCACTGGACCTCCAGGGAATGTCATATGCCCCCTCCCTGGCCAAGTAAGAAGCAGGGAGGGGGGGACTAAAAAATAAATAAGTAAATATTTAAAATAAAAAAATGCCTTTTGAAATACCCTCAGGTGTCTTCTTTAAGAAATAGTATGACTTTTCGGGGTAGTTGGAAAAATCAGCCTGCTAACATATTTCAAAATAGAATGCGGACCCATTAAAGCCCTCCATGTAAATTCACACTTAAAAACCTGAACTTGTCACGTCTCTTTTACAGCACTGTAACTTCACAAGATAGTGTCTAGGTCATACATTGGGCTTATTGTTTTACTCAGAAGAGGTAACTGATCATACTTAGGGGGAATTTATGATCGTGGCACTTATCAAATGTACGAAATACCCAGCGAAAATGCAACATGTATGTAAAAATTATTTTATTTTTTCTCTCCACAAAATTTGAAATAAATTTGGGAAAAAATGGTGGCATGTTAAGGTATAATATATGCCTAATAAGATACCCTGGAGTGTCTACTTTCTCAAATGGAAGGCCTCTGTGGGGTTATTTGAACAGTCACAAAATCGGATAGATATGTGACCATCTATGAAAATTCCGACTATAGAAACTAAAATAGCTTGGTCTCCTTTATGGTATTGTAGCTTCAAATATTTGTGGCAAAGGTGTACAATGGGGGTATTGTTGTATTCTGTATAGGAATAGCACACACCAGCTTTACGAAATACACATTACCAAAACCTTATTATATGTGTATATGCCAGAATAGAGAAAAAACTAAATTTTACTCCAATATTAAGAGGAGGTTAGCGGTGAAATGGTTACGTAAAAAGTGTCAAAATAACATTAGGTAAATAGCCTGTGATATCTGCTTTATATAAATATATACTTTTGTGTGGCATTTTTTTCTGTGATGGGTATTAAACTTTCAAGACAAACACACTAACTTCTAAAATTGTTTCACATTGAAATTCAATTTTAGACCTTGTAGTTTGTGACCTGTAACTTTAAAAAAAAAAAAAAGTGAAATCCTACACATATGATGTACTTTGTAAATCAAGACACATAAATGAATTAATTTTAAATTACTTTTCCTAAGTTGGACATATTATGCACACATTATTATTGCCAAAACTTGGAGAAAAAATTTTTCCCCCCCCTATTTATTAAAAGATTAATAATTAAATCCGACGCGCGTTTCCGCGTGACCGCACACCGTCCTCAGGTGTATTGCTGAGGACGGCGTGCGGTCACGCCGAAACGCGCGTCGGGTTTATTTATTAATTTTTTTTTTCGTTTGTTAGCGCGTACGAGTACTCTGCACTATGATATTTTAATATCATTCTTCTGGGGCTATAGATGTCTAGGTCGAGATATTAGATTAGAACACCCATGAAGGGTTAGCTTGGAAAGATGATCGTACTTTGGGATTTTTTTGGTTTGGGAAAGGGTTTTTGTTTATGGGTTTAGTATTGCCATTTGCATCCCTTTACGGTAATTGGGGTTTCTTATCCCCTCTTGGGTCACTGCATATTCTGGACCTATTCAATTTACCCTCCCTCCTTTTTCCTCCCATATTTTCTTTGCTGTTATCCCCTGAGGTGTGCATTGTTTAGTTAATTGTCCCTTCGGTTTTTGGGACTTTGATTATATAAGGCTTATTATTAGCCTTTTAGCATGCCATACCTCTCTCCACATCAGACTCTAGATATCTGTTTTAGCCCTAGGTTTTTACTATATTCTAATAAAGTTTTGTTTTTTTATTATTCTTTACACTTACTATTGAGATTGGACTGGGTTTCTCTCCTATTGGCTACCTTCTAGTAAGGTAGCTTTTTGGATATTATTTTTCTAATCTATTATCTTTTGGGTTATCCCCTATTACCCAGTCTAGGTGACCTCATTTACTCGAGAGACGGGAGATGGGTAGGTTTCTCCTTTCCTACCTTCCAGTCTCTTGTGTTTTCTATATATATTTTAAACAATGGAGTTTATTTGTCAAAGTGTTCTAAAAGTCTTCTATAGTACTAAAAGTGAACAATAATGATGGAAACCAGTAAGACCAGCATTCCATTGGTAACTATTCCCCTATTACATTTTTGCATCATTTTTCAGGACCAGACTCATTAATAAAGAACCCCCGGTGTATCAATGTATAGTCCCTGGAGACGGAATTTACGTTCCAGGATGCTCTTGCTGTGTTTCAGCCTGTGTCTAAGGGCTGGTGTAACACATACAGTAATGCCACATCCACGCTCTTAAGACCTGGCTGTTGCTCAAGCTAACAGTGTAGCAGCTATCCTGAAACAGAATGTTGGGTAGTATGACTTGGGAAGGCTTCAACGAGACTGTATACTCACCAGAACCACTACAATTTAATGTAGTGGTTCTGGTGTCTGTAGCCTGTCCCTGTAGGCTCAGCAATATAAACAGTGCATTTTCAGATAAAAGGTAGTGTTTACATTACTGCTCTTACACTTCTAGTGACTGTCACTAGAGGGATTTCCTGAATTTGGTCCTGCTGAATGCTTCCTATAGAGATGCATTGATTCAATGCATCTTTATGATGCAAGTTTTTTGGGCGGTTTTCGGGCGAGCACCAACAATTAATGATCCTAGCCAAGTAGGTTGTGCCGGATGTTGCGAGACTTGCGAGTAAAAAAGCTATTTTTAACCCTTGTATGGGAACAGGCAATAATCTAAATTAGAGGCGCCCATAATTTAGATTATTGCCCCCAGATGTTGTAGAACTATAACTCTCATGATTTGCATGCTTTTGGAATGAAGCTAGAGGAGCCTATAATTTAGATTATTGCCCCCAGATGTTGTAGAACTGCAACTCTCATGATTTGCATGCTTTTAGAATGAAGCTATAGTTTTAAAACATCTGGGAATCTACCTATTGGACACCCCTGATCTAAATAATAAGAAGGATCCTCTAGTGTTAGGAATACATGTTTGTTGGAGGAACACTATAGCGTTGGTAAAACACAAACTGCCAGTCAAACAAATTGGAGAGAAATTGCTTTAGAACTGTGGCAATCAGGGTGTCTGGACCGCAGGATTACATTTACATGTCTGACAGGCCAAAAATAGTTTCTATATTTATACCATTGATTGTTGCATACCTACAAAATTGCTTTATAATTCCTTCTGTTCAGTATAAACATTATGTATGTTGAAAATTTAAATTCTGCTTTCAAGTCATCTGGGTTTTTTTCTCTTTCTAAACTTTGCTTTGATGAAATGTCAATCTCGTAGATGTCAGCTCTTAAGTTTTGTTATTGATTGCAGAATTATACCCACAATCTCTAAAATTATAGCTTATGACAGTTCAGCATTGAATTATACATTTGTGCTTTGTTTTAATAGTATTTGAAAATGCACACAGTTGGATAAAACTGCTTGCAATTCTCATTGACACATATAAGTATGCACATTTACAAGACGGAAAAATCCACAACATGGTCCGATGCTATTTTATATTCTAATAGCCTTGGTTTCTTCCCTGCTACTACTATATAATTACTGTGTATGTCCAAGCCTAATAATCACACATGAAATCTGAAATGATATGAATTTATTCTGTAATTTTAACCCTTTATAAACCTTATCAGACTCAATCCTGATTGAGACATTTTTTTATTTTTATTTTTCTTATGTTGACATTTCATGTCACTATGGCCACACACTTGGACTTTATGTACAAGTAACAATTCAGTTTGATTCTATAATGAATTTTACAACCCATTTAAAAAAAAAAAAAAAAATGCATTCTGAATAGAGATGTCGCGAACCGTCCGCGAACTTCTCGCGAACGGTTCGCCGCGGTTCGCCACGAACCGTTCACGGCGAACTCCGGTCAGCTGACACATCCCTGCCAATCTCCGGCAGACCCTCCCTCCCAGACCCTCCCACCTCCTGGACAGCATCCATGTTGAAGCTGCCTTCAACATGGATGCTGTCCAGGAAGTAGGAGGGTCTGGGAGGGAGGGTCTGCCGGAGATTGGCAGGGATGTGTCAGCAAAAAAAATCAAAAAAAATAATCAATATCTCCAGTTATGTTACAACATGGATGCTGTCTGGGAGGGAGGGTCTGCCGGAGATTGGCAGGGATGTGTCAGCTGACCGGAGTTCGCCGTGCACGGTTCGTGGCGAACCGTTCGCGAGAAGTTCGCGGACGGTTCACAACATCACTAATTCTGAACATTCGGCTTAAAGTGCATCTAAATGTATAGTATTGCCTTTATTGCATTTAAACTAAAACATATTGGAGAATTATTGTGCATGCTTATGACATCATAGGTAATTTTAATGGTAGTTGTATTTTAACAGTGAGAGACCAAATAATAAAAAAGAAAAACGCATGTCAAAAAAAGTTAGAAATTGACTTGCATGTCAATGAGTGAAAAAAGTATTTGACCCCTTCCACTTGGTGGCAAAACCTTGTTGGCAATCAGAGGTCAGATGTTTCTTGTAGTTGGCCACCAGGTTTGCACACATCTCAGGAAGGATTTTGTCCCACTCCTCTTTGCAGATCCTCTCCAAGTCATTAAGATTTCAAGGCTGATGTTTGGCAACTTGAACCTTCAGCTCCCTCCACAGATTTCCTATGGTTTTAAGGTCTGGAGACTGGTTAGGCTACTCCAGGACCTTAATGTGCTTCTGCTTAAACCACTCCTTTGTTGCTTTGGCTGTGTGTTGTGGGTAATTGTCATGCTGGAATACACATCCACAACCTATTTTCAATGCCCTGGCTGAGGGAAGGAGGTTCTCACCCAAGTATGGTATGTGCCCCCGTCCATTGTCCCTTTGATGCGGCGCAGTTGTCCTGTCACTTTAGCAGACAAACACCCCCAAAGCATAATGTTTCCACCACCATGGTTGACGGTGGGGATGGTGTTCTTGGGGTATAGGAAGCATTCCTCCTCCTCCAAACACGGCGAGTTAAGTTGATGCCTAAGAGTTCGATTTTAATTCTAGGTGCGGATTAATTCTAAGTGCGTAGTTATAGTGAAACTTAGCTTTGTGCAAGGCCTGAACATGAAGATACACCTGCAAGCTTCCTATAGTTTAAGATGTTAAGATAAGATAGATCAGTTTGTTTTTTTTTAGCCTTTCTTCATAACTGTTTTCCATCACTCTTATTCATTTTGTTTCTCGACTCTGCACTTTTTCTAATTCTAGTGCAATATCTTTCTTTAAAGGGATACTACAGGCACAGGGACAACTTTAACTTAATAAAGGGGTTTTGTTGTATACAGCAACGGTGTTACTGCTCAGTGCTCTGCCATTAAGGATTGTTTATGCAGCCCTAGTCACACCTCCATTGCATGTCTCCCTACGCATTTCCTATTAAGAGATTTAATGTTTAGACTTTCTTTATTGCACAGTCTAATATCAAGTCCAGATATGTTGATAAATGATATATGATAAACTTTAATCTAATTTCTCATGTAGCACCTTCTGGATATATGCGATTCTTTATAGCACATCTCCGACATTCTTTTTCACGTACCACTCTACTGCTATTAACATTCTTTGTTCTGTACAACAGCCAAAACCTAATTCAAAATCAAACTAAGTTTGTGCCACATGAAATGTCATTTGTTTCTAAATTCCCTGACACCCTAAGCCAATATTTCTTTTTAGGTCTCGAGATCAGGCTTTCTTTATCTGTATTATAGATATATTTATACACATTCTACACGAACAATTGCTAACAAAGACTAACACGGCAATCATTTCACATATTGTAACGCCTACATTCAACAATGTTCCTCTCTCTGACACCATACACTATTAAGCTTTAAATCCATATAACAGAGGATGTGTGTGATGGGAAACTCCCTTACAGACATCACACTTGCAAAGTTAATTTAAATTGTTTATTTCTTCCTCTGAAACACTAAGTTACCTTGGTCATATTAAATCAAATTTACCATTAAAGGATCGCTATAGTGTCAGGAAAACAAATCGGTTTTCCTGACACTGTAGTACCCTGAGGGTGCCCACACCCTCAGGGTCCCCCTCCTGTGGTGCTAAAGGTTTAAACCCCTTCAGTTATTCACCTTCTTCCACCGCCGGGCTCCCTTACCTCTCCTCCCCCGCCGACGTCCGCTCCCCCATCTGACGTTAGCGGAGCGGAATGCACTTGCACGGCAGTGCCGCGCGCGCATTCAAAGTGTAAATAGGAAAGCATTTTTCAATGCTTTCCTATAGATGCCCTGCGTGATGGAGGCATAATATGCCTCCAGCTTTGCAGATGCGCCTCTAGTGGCTGTCCGGAAGACAGCCACTAGAGGTTGGCTTAACCCCAAATGTAAACATAGCAGTTTCTCTGAAACCGCTATGTTTACAGCAGGCAGGGTTAACCCTAGAGGGACCTGGCACCCAGGCCACGTCATTGAGCTGAAGTGGTCTGGGTGACTATAGTGTCCCTTTAATCTATATAAAAGTGTATTAGAATAATCTATATCTCTATTTGGTGTAAATTATGTCTTTGTCTAGTATAAGAATCATGTTACCAGACAAATGGACAAAATAAAAATTCAGAAATTAAAAGAACACTCTACAAAATTACTGAAGTGCTTTATGTGTCTTTAACCTGTCACTTTTGTGACAGTTTATTCCCTTAAAGGGGCACTGCAGGCACCCAGACCACTTGCTGATGGTACACTTGTGATGCTGCTGGAAATGGAATTACACCACATGCTGCAGAGGGCGTAAACTCTGTATGTGCAGTGTTTCATACTCCACATACAGACACCAAGCACCATGACTACTTCAAATCACTGAAGTGGTCATAGTGTTTGGAATAACCCTTTAAAGGGTTCAGTGACTTACAGTGATCATGGTGCTTGGAGTCTTCATGCACAGCCTTTCAGCTGTTAAGAAAATCTGCAACATATATTGTAGTGTTTTACCAAAAGTGTATCTTTAGTAGCCTGGAATGAGAATTCTTGGCTTCTACTGTCAATTCTGTGCATCAAAAGCATCTATAGTCAACACACGTAGCATGCTGGCAATGGATAATTCTCCATGCCTCCCCAAGTCTTTCCTCAGCCAAGCACATGGGCTTTCATCCACCTGCAGTGAAAACGGGAAAATATTGGGCTGCTTGGTAAACTTGGCCTCAGAGTGGGACTACAGGTAAGTATTTCCTTGTACTTATTTTATTAAAAGAAATGGGGACCATGCCATCAAGTATTTTCTACAATGAAAAACAATACTTTTAGTAAAACACGGTTTGATTGGAGTAACCCTTTAAGCAATAATATACAGTAATGACTTATAATAAATAACATTAACTAAAATTAATATGCAATATATGTTATAATGAATATACAATAAGAGGAAATAATGATGCTTTGTTTCTGAAAGATGTTTAATTTTACATTAATTGTACAAAACAGCACTTTGGTATCAAGTAGAACTCTATAGTTAACAAGACATCTTGAGAAAAGATTATCTCCGCTTGCCTGCACATCTGCCTGAGGATATAGTTATGCTATCGATATATCAGAACCACGTTTATACTATTTTGGTTTCATCCAAATCCATTTGATAGCCTGCTGTTTGATGTAGGTGGATGAACAAGAATGGATGAACGAATGTTAGACCCCAAGTCACTCGTCCAACCCACAAAGGGGAGTCTGTTATTTATTTGCTTAAATCTGGTCATATAATCCATTCAAAGATTGGGCCATAAAGCTTTGCATGAGAGGTAATCAATGCATTGAATACTAGTTGGTTAAATATTGATTGAGGATACACAGGTTGGTTACAATATCAATGCACGACAAGTAATTGTGTCTTGACATGAAATTTATCCTTCTAAATGAGCTCCTAGATGACATCTAAATAGGAAACTGTCTAACCTGCTTTTGTGTGATGTCCTGTAAGAGTAAACCTACATGATGTTTATAAGTGTCCTGTGTAGGCAAGAGGTGGAACTGTGTGCCACGCGCTACAGTAGAAGGTTAGAGTGAGATTAGGGAGGTTAATGCATGGCTAAAGTCGTGGTGTACAAAAAAGGGTTTGTGCTTTTTAGAGACACAGAAACTAGAAATTGTACATAGGACAGAAAGGAGATTGACTTTAGCTCAGCACAATGGGGTGGATATGGCGGGAGGCCAAGATCAGAGCAGAGGCGGTATGTAATAAAAATGCACGTAAAGTACAATTGACTCATGATTTTAAATGCATGCTTCCAAATGCAAGGAACCTAAATAACAAAATGGAGGAACTATAGGAAATAAGCATACACTAAGCAATATGAAATAATGGGTATAACTGAAACATGGTGGGATAAAACACATGACTGGGCAGTTAACTTACATGGTTACACATTGTTTAGGAAGGATAGAAAAAACAGGGAAGGTGATGGGGTATGTATGTTGTATGTTGTATGTCAACCATGAGTTAATGCCAAATTTTAAAGGGTTTCTCCAATTCTTTTCCCCTGATGATAGAATAATGTCCTGCACATCCAGACTCCTCCTACCATGGCCACTTCAATAAGCATAAGTCGTCATTGATGGTGGTTGAAGTAAACCTTTAAGAAAGTGTAAAAGCATTATGGGTAGATGTTGATGAGGAAGAAAAGTTAAGCATCAAGGTAACATGTTAATTATTGGAGATTTTAATTATCCAGACATAATTTAGATTAGAGGGACCAGTAGTTCAGCAAGAAAAAAATGGTTTTTGAACCTGTTACATGTTACCTTAACCCCTTAAAGGACCACTATAGTGCCCTGAGGGTGCTCTCACCCTCAGGGACCCCCTCCCGCTGGGCTCTTGGGGGAGGAAGGGGTTGAACTTACCTCTTTCTCCAGCGCCGGACGGGGAGCTCTCCTCCTCCTCTCCTCCCTCTTCTTCCGTCACCGGCTGAATGCGCATGCGCACGTATTCAGCCAGTCCATGTATTCAGCCAGTCCATGTATTCAGCCAGTCCATAGGAAAGCATTCACAATGCTTTCCTATGGACGCTGGCGTCTCCTCACTGTGAAAATCACAGTGAGAA